GGGGGGAGGGGCGAGAGAGGGGGCGGGAGAAACTACACGCCACCGAACGGACTTTTCAAACTAATTCTGTAACGTTTCTAATACAGTACAAGCAAGAAGCAGTGGTAAATTTCCTGGAAAAGTCATGGGCGAAAAGAAAGCCCCAAAAACCTGCTTTTGTGGCCTGGGGGGTACGGGATGTGAGAAACTCAGCACTTTGCAGCTAAACCCTCAATTCTGAACAGAAGCGGGAGAGGGAGGCTCCGCAAGGGCCCGACTGGCTTTCTGATATTTCTTTGTATTTTAACATTATCTAAAAATGCTATACAACTAAGCAACTTGATTGTTTGAGGTCAGGGCTCTGCAAATTACATAATGGGGGCAAGGGCTAGGGCTGCGGAAGGGGGGCAGGCTGCCCGGGGCGGAGGGGAGACTGGGGCGAGCCGAGGATGAATTGCAGACCAGTTGCCAAAACTTTTTTTTTCCCCTGCTGCTTCTGCTGCTGCGGCTGCCTTTGCCGCTGCCTTGCTTTGAATGTGGGTAACTAGGAAACAGCAAGCCGTCTGAGAAGACGGAATTTCCAACGTGTAAAATGTTCTTAACGGAACCATTGAGCGAGTGCAATAAGGCGTGAGGGGGAACTAATCTTCCCATTTAAATGTTTGTGGCAATTTTATCTAAATGAATTTTAATGCTAAACGAGGGTAATTCCCCATTTGTAGCGCGTTTACTTCTCTTTCCTGTGCTTCTAAAGCAGTCGAACATCATGCAATGAACAATAACAATAAAAATACTGTCAAGGCATATTATTCATTTTGAATGTGTTATAATTACAGCTGATTAAATATGATCAGGTAAAATATTTTTAATTTTTTTGGAAAAAAAAATTTAAATCTTACTGCAAAAGAAGCCTAGTTCAGCCATTGGCCACCCCCTCCCCCGTTAAGATAAAAAGCAGGTACGATTGTGCGCCCTTGTTTAGAGGAGGGCGTTTTGGTTTTGCCTTTTAAGAAACATCAGAAACACTCTCGACACCTCTATTATTTCCCTCCTTTGGATAAGTGTCCTCAATGACCTCTGAGCTGGCTCTGAAATTTACAAGAGGAAAAGCTAAAATAGCACTAAGAGGCCAGGGCATCAGGAGGAACAGGAAGGCTGGAGTGGCACCGAGACCACAGTTTGGTTTTTGGTTTTTTTTCTCCCTGTTCCTGGACACTTGATTGTGATTCTTCAGTCTCCATATTCCCTAACTCCTATACCCTCTCCCCTACCTCCCAGGAGTCCGTCTGCCTGTCCGTCTGCCCCCCCACCGTCTCTCCTCCCTCTTTAGCCTTTCTCTGTCCCCACTCCATGAGAACCTCAAGAGTAAAGACAGAAAATAACCAGCTCACCCAGCCACCAGTAGGGAGGCGGGAGGGGCAAATGGACGGTTAGTTTATAAAGTTTATTATTAATTTTAAAAGTAAATAAATGGTTGTTAACGGCTAGTAACTACCTATCAAAAGAGAATGATTTCACGAATACGAACTATTTATGTAGGCGAAGAACTGTCCCTGGGTCAAAATGAGAAATGTAAACAATCTCATGTATGGGCTGGGGGTGGAATGTGGAGGCCTAGCGGCTGCGGTGAACCCAGCCTCACTCTGGGCGGCCACGTGTTTAGAAACAAGGCCCCATAAACAAAAGGTGAGAGGTGCGCGCTGCTGCTCCAGCAGGTGAGCCAGTCAGTCACGCGTCACCTAGTAAAGCCAACCCACAGCTGTTTTCTCTTTTCAAATAGAAAATAGAATTGCAGAGGGCGGTTTTATAGGGTGACATAGGCCTGAACGTCAGACTTGAGTTTAAGGCGCTCTCTTCCAAGGACCCATCCTTTGTTTACAAAGCAATCACTGCTAAAAGGCTTATTTTTTAAAACGAATTTGCCTTAATTAAAATATTTGTATATTTCCCTTAGCTTTGGGAAGCACTTTTTATAGCCGCAATTTTATTTAAATAAAATTATAAGCTATTCCAGCTTAAACATGTTATTTTGTACCATTTAGCTGGCTGCCATGCAGAAATTCTGTACAGCTGTTCTGGAAAATTGGTTAATAACCAGTTTTATCCAATGAGAACACAGAGCATATTTATAAAAATTAGATTTTGAAGTCTGGTCTCTTCAATTCACATAGTTAATTCCCTAATAAACGTACACTGCTCGTCCTAGGTAGCCTCTTCCTCAGTAAAAGGCTGAGGGAGCTTTGTACTTAGGGTCACCATCATATGAAAGAATAATACCACTGATATTAGATGAATAATTCTGTTGGCGGTAATCTGAATCCACACTTCTATTAGTGCCTTTAGGCCTTAAATTTGCTGAAATTAGGAGTTTATCAAGTCAACTTAAAGAAATCCCTGGTCATTATTAAATAATGTACTTTGTGGTTAAAATTTCCAAACACATATATGACTTAGGGGGCTAAAATTAATTATTATATTTACTGCACTAATCATTAAAAATTTGGGGGGCAGTAAACAAATT